GGGGGGGGGGGGGGGGGGGGCAGGCAGCTCCGCCCGCGGAAAAAAGCTCGGCTTCTCCGTGCGAGTGGAAAAACTCGAGCCGTTGTTGCTGATGTGGCAGTGCCCGGAGGAGCGCTCTGGCTGGCCGGCCGGTCCTTGTACGGCACTGATGAGGAGCGCTGGCTGGGCGCAGTTGCCTGGTGCTGCTTGGAAAATTTCCAATTGGTGGAAAACTGGGCTCTGAAGCAGTGGCCGGTGATGCACGGCCTTTATGGGGGGCCATGTCGCAGTGTGCTTGGCTCCAGGAAGCCCTGGCTGGAGCCTGTGGATCCCATTAATGACCCCACCTTGACTGAAGCTGCGTCATCAGTTTACATCCTCCAGGCTTGATCATCTTTTTTTTTTTCTCTATTTCCTAGTGCTGGAGGTGGTCCATGGCTAGTATTGCATGCTCTTACCCAGTTTACCCATTTGCAAAAGTTAGTTCCCTGGGTGACGTGAGGGTGACAGTAGTGGAGGAGACCAAAGGACCTTTGTCCATTCTCTGATGATGGCTAGAAGCGGGTGCCTGGGTAAGAGCAGAAGCAGAGAGCAAGTTTATAGCAGTGTGTCACCCAGACTATGCTTCGGGTGTAGAGATTTCCCAAGTTGTATTTAGAATCGCTATTTATAAGAAAAATCTGTTGCTCTTTAAGCCCAGTTAAATTTCTGGTGCTGTGGCGTCCTACTGCAAACTGTTTCACAGCGTAGTTACCTGTTGTGTGAAGAAGTATATAATTCTTCTGGTTTTGATGCATTGTCTGCTTGTTTCCCCTCGAAAAGGGCAGGGAATGTTTGTTTGGCGCTTGTCCTCTCCAGGACAAATATCTAGTCAGTGGTCTCTTGTTTTGGTTTGCAAACCTGTAGTCTGTTTGTTTGTTTTGCATATGGAAGCTGTTTCATACTAGTGCTAGGTAATGTGACAGTGAGAAGTTGAGCATGTAGTTCTCTTGGGTGCTTTCAGCACAACATTTTGGCTGAGGTTTGGTTGCAAATGTATCCCAGTACTTAAAATATGTATGAACTCATTGCAGCTGCTGTTCTAGAGTACTGGTGGCTTGGGAGGGCTGGTCCAGTGTGTCCTCTGGAAGACACATCTGTATGAGAGAGCGTTTGGCTTTCCTTCTGTGCATGGATTAACTAACCAAATAAATAAACGAGGTGACCTCATACGACCTCAGCCCATGATTGCAAGTCCTTACATACCTGATATTTTTATCATTGCCATCCTGCAGTAGTTATAGTGCAATGTAGAAGAAGCAGCCAAGTTAAGTTTTGGACATCTCTGAAATGTAGAATCCTCCTCACTAGGCTTAATAAAGAATAAACTAGGCAAACCTCCTTAAGGCATGATCTAGGTTTACTTGATTCAATTTGGATTTGAAGTGCTTTTTCCCCACTCATGAATCCAGCTGGTGAGGAAATTTCACAGTTAAAGGCCTTTGTGAAGCAACCAGAGAGTTTCCCGCATCAACAACTTCCTTGCATATCTGTTTGCAATTTAGTAAAAATGAAAGCAGTTGAACGTAGGAGTTGCCAGATGTGGCAATATTTGACAGTTGAGTCTCCAAGGGAAACTGCTTTTTTAAAAAGAAATCAACCTGTTTTAACAAAGAGAAGCAGAAAGTGGATCTCTCATAAAGCTCTGTAAGAACATGTTTCTCGTTAAAGAGATTATTTTCTCGTATCTCCCACGTCACTTATCAAAGAGGCTTTTGGCAGCTTTGGCAATTTTGAGGCGTGCTTAATTCAATTTAGCAGCCAGAAAACAGAAGCTAGAGCACGGGAGTCAGCTGACTGGAGGTCATGGTCTCATATCAGTGGTTTGAGGGGAAAAATAAAGCTTTGAAGGAGAAAAACATTGTTCTGGATTCTGATAGGGATATCTCCAGTTTATTCTGTAATCAATTTTATAATCACTCTGTGGTTTTTGGTGGTTTTCTTTAATTTATTTTTTATTAACGGGGTTTGGAGAATAAGTTGCTGTAAGAGTTGTGCCAGTGCCTGCTTTGAGGATGGGGTGCGTTGGGTGGCTTGGTGAGACAGATGAGGGTGGTACCTTCTCCTGGGGAGGACCAGAGCCCAGCCTGGTCACGGGCTTGGGGGAGCACCCACGGGTGCTGCTTTGTGAAGGGCTGCTGCGTTCCTGGTATTGCTGCATCGGGGGAAGTTTGCTGCCAAGACAGTACGTTGGTACAGTGGTTTTGGAGGTTGTTTTCTGTTGTTTAGGTTTGATTTGGTTTGAGACCAGTCCGTTGGTTCACCTCCTTCAAATATTCGTTCAGCCTAATGAGAATGACCCCATCCTTCTCTCTGGCTGCCTGTCCCTTGAGCTGTCTCCTGGGGCAGCAGCCCAGAAATGGATGAATATGAGCTACCTGGCAGCGGAAGCCCTGTCTCTCTTCTTGCTTTTCTTTCTTTGCAGTCACATGCAGTCCTAGTAGGTCTTCAAAGACCATGTGCTGTGTTGCTCGTTGTGTGAAGGATCAAAAGATTTTTATTGTTCCATCAGTTCTGTTGTAGAAATATTGATGGGATGAGACCTGATTGTTTAGCTGTGCTTGTCTAAAATATGTTTCAAAATTTTCCCTTTTGTATTTTTAAAACCTGTTTGCTTTTTTTTTTTTTTTTTTGTTTTCTTTTGTTTCCTTTTTCTTCTAGAATTCTTCTGAGAGCCACAATTGTGCCAAAAGCATCTTGACCTCAGACAGGCTGCAGATAGTTGTGACCCTTTCGGAGTTCTTTAACGAAACCTGGGAGGCAGCCAACTGTGCAAGTATGTGACTCGTTATGTAGCTTTCATACTGCTGTTATGACTTAGCCCCTAAAATCTGCACAGGTCAGAATTGTATGTATTTGTTTAGATACAGTCAGTAGATAACACAAAAATGCTAAACTAGGGCCACTCCAAGGAAGCCACTCCAGAGCTTTTTATTCTGTAAGGCCTACTGCCAAAACCTGAGGGTACTAGTCTGTCAGAAAACTTAGTTGTTATATAAATATTTCTTTTAGGCTCTTCTTTCAAAAGGTAGCGTCCTGTTCCTGGTGGGGATAGGGTTAATTTTCACAAGAAGCTGGGGTGGGACAAAGCTGGTGCCCCAATTCAGACTATCCAAGGGGGTATGGATACCATGTGATGGCTCAGCATATAGCTGGGGGAGCAGGCTGGGGCTTTGGCCGCCTCCCATCCGTGAGCAGTGGTATATTAATCAAGTTTTCTGTTTTCCTTTATCAGTATCGTTGCTGTTTTCTTCTTTCCTTTGCTGTTCTGTTAAACTGCTTTTATCTCAACCCAAGAGTTTTGCCTTATTCTTCCAATTCTCCCACTGCTGGGAGGAGGTGGGCGGGGATATGAGTGAGTGACTGCGTGGTTCTTTGTTGCCAGCTGGGGCTAAACCATGACAGGTAGTCATGTCAGTTTTCTTTGTGATCTGCAGACCTTGCTGGAGACTTTCCTTGGCTTCGTGGTGTTTTCTTCTATTTTATTTCATCTTCCCATTTTTTTAAAGACCTGCATAAGAAACTTTTCCTTCTTTGTTAATGAAGTCAGTAATTCTGGAATGCTTACACATTGAACAGTATCTGCCTCCACAGCTGTTCTTTTTATTTCATTTTGTGGGTTGGAGGGTGTCCAAGTCTATCCCTGTATCCCACTGTGCCACACAGCTAAACTGTGGCTTTTTACCATTCCCCTGGGGTGGGCAGTGGGACTCCACAGTAATGGGTGCACTAGAAAACAGGGAATAGCAGTGTGGAGCTGAGTGTTCAAGACGCTGGGTTTGCTGCAGAGTTCCTTGAGAGCCCAGAAGAGTTTGTTTCCATTTGTGAGGACTAGAGAGGTGGTACAGGAGGAGCTCTGTGCTCTCCTGCCGTGTGTAGCCTGTGACCTGTGTGCTGGCTGCCCAGTGTCCAGCTGAATGCTCACCCTCAGCACTGATGGCGCCTCCTTCTGTCTGGAGAATTACAGAATCACAGAATGATATGGGGTGGAAAGGGACCTCTAGAGATCATCTAGTCCACCCTCCTACCAAAGCAGGTCCCTCTAGAGCAGGTTGCACAGGAATGTGTCCAGGTGGGTTTTGAATGTGTCTAGAGATGGAGACTCCACCACCTCTCTGGGCAGCCTGTCCAGGGCTCTGCCACCCTCAAGGTGAAGAAGTTCCTCCTCATGTTTAGATGGAACCTCTTATGTTGAAGTTTGTGCCCGTTACCTCTTGTCCTATCACTGGGCACCACTGAAAAAAGACTGGCTCCCTCCTCGAGACACCAACCCTTAAAGTATTTATAGGTGTTGATCAGATCACCCCTCAGCCTTCTCTTCTCCAGACTAAAAAGACCCAAGTCCCTCAGCCTTCCCTTGTAAGAGGGATGCTCCAGGCCTCTCATCATCTTTGTGCTCCAGAATTCTCCAGGAATTCTCTAGGATGTTGGCTCGCTCTCGCAGTACTGTTGCTAAACATCTAAATTCCCAAAAACCACTGTTGTTTTCAAGGGTCTTTCTGGTTAGAGCACCTGAAGAGGGGTGGAAGGAGTAACACGGTAGGGTTGAGCCTGTGAGTGGGAGGAAAGCCCCAGAGCTCCCCTCCAAGCTGGTGAGATGATCAGCTCTTTTCTTTAACAATAATCTACACTCTGAGTCTGCCATTGTGTTCGAGGTTTAGCTGTTTCCTGGGTGCTCTCCGTTTCGTCTCCACTGCTGGTGCTTCTGCTTTCGTGTAGTGGCTCTTACTGTTGCTGGGCAAAGCCAGATTTGCAGGGTAGAAAATAAAAGTAATGTCTTGTTTTATCTTAAAGTCCAAAGATAATTCAGACCTCCTCTTCAGAAAGCTCTTGATAATAGTCTTCATCTTTCACTTAATCAAGGCCAATTAATTCTGAAATATGTTCTCGATGAAGGGTTAGGTCAGCAGGTCTGAGACATCAATGGCAGGCAGATAAGGAGACTCCAGTGTTGACTAGACCTGTCTTTTATAGTCGAGAGCTCTTTTTGCAGGAGTGGAGTGTCTGGGGCTTGTCGGCTATGGAAATGTTAGAAATTAGAATATCCTGATGTTTTTCTTTCTCTTTGACAGATTGTTTAAAGAACAGCAGTGAGGGATTATCAAATTCTACTGTAGAATTCCTGGATTTATTCAATAAATCTCTGACATGTTTTGAACATAACCTTCAGGTATTTATGCTGTGTATTTAAGAGAAGCGCTAAATCCTCTAATTGCTGGCAAAATCTTATGTGTGCTGAATAAACTGCAGATGCGTATTGGGCAAATAGACTGCTGGTGAGTTTGTGAATTTTAGGCAGATAAAGCCATGATCTGCAAAATGCAGATGTTTACAGATTGAGAGCCTAAAATTAATTCTAATTGATATTCACCTTGACTTCATTTTGTGTGTAATTGCAGTGCTACTTCACATCAGAATTTCTGAATTCACAATAGTTGATAATTATATAGTAAGAAACGTGGTGTCTGCATGCTGCAAGTCTCTATTTCTACCTCTTTGGAGAACTGTTGTCTTCTGACTTAACAATTCAATCTTTAAATAGCCTTTTGATAATATAGGCTCGTTCAGAAAGACCACTACCTTAAATCATTGTAACAATTCTTTTGACTGGTAAAATTAATGGCAGACAACATTTGTCCATATTGCAAAGGCAATATAATTCACTTAGTGGTAATTGTCCTCAGAGAAAATGCCCTAAATAGCCTAAGAAACTGCATATTCCATTTCAGTCGGAAACTGGCCAAGTTCTGGGATCATTCAGTGGTAAAAATGGGAAATTATAGGTATGAAACAAACTCTGAGGAGACTGTCTGGTTTTTTATTACTAATGATTTTTTTAGGAAATGTGCCTTTATGGGCCTTCCTGGGAGTGTCTGAACTAGAGCTTAACCAGGTGGTCAGTTGGTAGCTGATACAACCATTACTGGGTCAGAGTATCTTTAGAGATTGTGGTTTTGTTTTCAAGTGAGTCAGATTGCATTTGGGGGTGGTGAAGGCCACAAACGAAAAGGATTACTTATTATGGCAAAGTCTGTCCCTGTCGGTGCAGCTCAGCAGTAACAACAGGTTCTTGTTAGGTATGGGCAAACAAAACCAAAACACAGTATTAAGGAACCTGATCTCTGGCTCCAGAATAACGTTTAATTACTCGTAATTTCTTTTCCCTCCACCTGGGAACTGGTACTTTAAAAATAAGTGTTTAAAAAAAAAAAGCTGCTAGTTCAGGGAGCAGTTTGAGATGCAATAGCTGCAGGAAATGCATCCTGTCCCTAGTGAATTAGAGGTGGGCCCTTTTCCTCCTGGATTCTCATGCGAGTTGTCTGTCTGGGCCCCTACTCAATGAGGGTGCTAGAAATTTGGATTTTGGTTCAAACCTGACTCTAGTTTTTAAGTTTTTTTTCTTATAATGCCTAAAAACTCCGTATGAATGCTGTTTTATAACCCTAGGGACAAACCATCTATCTGTCACCCAATAACTACACAGAAGTATGTAAAAACTGCAACGAAACCTACAAAATGTTGAATGACCTGTATAACAACTTGCAAAGGATGAACAGGCAAGGTGGTGAGTCTGGGCACTCCACGCACTTGTGTATCGACGTGGAGGATGCAGTAAGTATTTATATACTTATATATATTTATATACTCGGCAGAGAGGCCTTGATCATGGAACTCTTTATTTACCCGAGCCATTTGCCCTTGTCTTGCTAGGGACTGCCTTTTCCCTTTTGGTGTGGGGCAGTAGGGACAGCAGTGTCTTTGCCAGGCTGATGTCCCCAGGGGAAGAAGTTATCTCATTGGGGCTGTCTTGCTTGGTCCTCTCCTCAGTCAGGGAAGTAGGAGCTGGCTGAAACTTCTGATCACCTCAGTACGTTCCAGTTTGAGGAGCTGCACTTTAATTTCTTGTTACTGTGGAGGGAATGGATTTAAAAAAAAAAAACATAACACAAACCCTCTTAATCTTCTGGCTTTTAATGTGAAGCTTTACTGCTATTGTTCTAGCCAGTGTAATAATTGATTCCTTATTAGAGCAGCTGTTTCTAGGGGTCCTCAGCAGTGGTGACATATGCTTGGAAAAAAGCTTTGTTATATTGTAGGGTTTTAAAGTGGTTGGGCAAAAGGAGCGTTGTCGAAAGTGTGGGATTAGCCCTGTCCCCACAGGCTGTCAGGGAGTTCTCTGGGAAACAAGCATGTGGTGATGTCTGCAGTGTATTTGAATATAGCCTGGTTTTAAGGCTCGTATGAGTTTTGATGCAAAAATCTTGGACCTTGGACAAGGGTTTGCTTGCTTTTGAGGGGAGACCTGTTAAAGTGGTGTTTTCTGAGATCATATTTGCACACTTGGGCGTTTGCCGCGCTGCCCAGCAGCAGTGCCGCTGCTTGCCTTCATGGGCTTGCTCATCATGTCTGTCTTCTAGATGAACATCACCCGGAAGCTTTGGAGCAGGACTTTCAACTGCTCGGTCCCCTGCAGCGACACGGTGCCGGTGATCGCGGTGTCCTCCTTCATCCTCTTCCTACCTATCGTTTTTTACCTGAGCAGCTTCCTTCACTCCAAGCAGAAGAAGCGGATCCTCATTTTGCGTAAGCGGTGGGGCTGGCCTTTCCCTGCGGGGACCTGGGTGGTGCCAGGGATGTGCCTGGCCCCGGTGGGAGCGGGGACCCTGCAGGTGGATCTGCCTGCAGCTGTGGGCCACTAATAGCCACCATTAGTCGGCTGCTGTCCCCTGAAGAAGGGTGGAAAAGAGCTTCAGCCATATCTTTTCATTAAAGTTTCTGGACGTGAACAGAAAGCTGTTTGCAAGTCTGCGGCGGATAAATAGAGGGAGTGGAGAGACTAGTTTTTGTGGAATTCTTTGTGTTTAATTTTCATATAATTTTTTTTTTTCCCTTTCTAGCCAAGCGCATCCAGTCAAATGCCAGTCTTGTGAACATCCAAGAAAAATACAGCTGAGCTGCAGAACAAAACCTGAGAACTGCTGCTGGTATACAGTGGGTACAATTGTGTTGGAATGAGGCCGGCACAAAAGAGGAGTTAATTATGGTTTAGTGTAATGATACAGAGCAACACAAGTTAAACAAAATGCTGTCTGACTTCTAAGCGAGGACATTAACAAACATGACAAGGCAGGGCTGTGTGACACTGTATGGACTCTGGTTTTGAAAAATCTGTGGGCTTTTTTTTCAGTCTCGGGCTGAAGCTGGTGTTTTTCTGTTTCTAAGCTTTTGTACTTCTCATCCATAGAACAGCTACACTTTGCTTGCATGGTGTTTTTCCATATTTATTGTATTCATTTCACAGAAACCTGAGATTCTGAATCCTTTTGAGGTAATTTTCATAGACAGACAAAACTTGAAATAATATTTGATGTTCCTGCTTGAAACAATATGTTTAATTTCACATATAATACTCAGTCTTGCCAGACTTGGGATGGACAGAAAACCTTTGAGAAAGATCGGTACAGGAAAGATGAGAACTTTTCTAAATTGATGCTGCTGGTATCTGTTAAAAAACAAAACACCAAAAAACCAAAAGGCATGAAATATGCAGAGAAAGTGGTAATATATCATGTCCAAAGCCAGAAACAAAAACTGCTAGTGCTAGACTTGAATAGTAATCATTGATGGCTACAGTATTCAGTTATCTCTGAAACAGGCGGCGTATTTAGTCATTTGCACACTTTAACCACTAAAATCATTGCTTTTCAAATGTTAAATTATCAGATGCTTATTTTAGATGTCTACTTGGGTAACTGAGTGCTTCACTGTTTATTATGTTATTTCCTATACTTTTTAATTATAAGGTTGGTGTTTTTTTTTTTTCATTTGTTCTTGCTTTTGGGGGGAAGTGAGGTAAAGTCAAGTCACTGGAGATGCTGAATTTCCTGGTCTAGAGCTTGCTATGGCGTAATACAGAGGTGTTTACAGGAACTTTGTAGGGGAAAAGTTACCTTTTCTAGATAATATGTATTTTAGTGGTAAACGAACCAGAGGGTTCTCTACCTTAAAAACTGTCCAGTGAAGACACTGTGTTGGGAATTGATGGCTTTCAAGAAATAGTTCTAAAAACAAGGCCTGTGAAATAGATGAATGTAAACAAATTCAAGCTTGGAGATTTCCAAAGCTGATGGAGAAATCCACAGGGTCAGGACTGGGATGGGTAGTGCTGCTGAGGGGCTTTGGGCACCCACGGTTCAGTTGGGTTGTGATGGGCCTGATTTGGGAGAGTGGTGGGCTCGAAACGATTTATAGCTGTGCTGGAGGTTAATGAATCTTTGCTCACATTTTAAAATGTGTTTTCTAACCGTGAGACAAAAATGAATGGCCATTACAGAATGGTCATTAAAAAAAAAAAATTCTCTTGGAACTTGTGTCTGACGTCTGTCAAAAAACCCTGTGAAACAGTCTTATGTATTTGACTTGCTTTGGAGCCTAGAATGTTCAATTTTTCCTTTGCACTAAGGCTCAAATAAATATGTAATGATGTAACAAAACAGTCCTGAAGCTCTTCAAGTCGTTGGTTGTTTTTCTTGTTATTCTTTGTGGGTTTTTTGAGTTAGGACATACTGTCAAGTTTTAAAATCAGGCTGACAGTATGTTTCTTATTAAGTAAAATACTGTGTTAGCAATATTGGTCCCACTCACACCATTACCTTTTTGTATTTTATCACTAAGAAGTGTTTATCTCCCTCTGTTAAACCTGTGAATTACTAGGTCAACAGTCAGTTTGTTTTAGGTAGTTTATAAGAATAATAGAAAACTCTTGCTTATTATATAAAGTTACCTTCTTGCGGCTGGGAGAAGCATGCTGCCTTTAAAAAAAAAAAAAGATTATTTTTTTATATCTCTTACTCTTAAACTTCAACTTTCTGGGACTTACCCAGCTGCCTGCTCTAATAGCATTACATTGATTTGGGACATCATATGATTGAGAGCTGTTCAAAGCGATCTTTCATTCGTGCAGATAAAGCCAGTTTGTATGCACAGCATTTCAGAATGACAGCTTTTATACTGTAAGCAGTGGCTTTTTGAGCACATTCATGTTAAGTAGGTCTGAAAGTCATTACTTTTGGATATGGTGGTTAAGCACTTTAAAAAAAAAAAATAAAAAAATCAGCTTTTCTTATTTTCCTGGCTGCTAAGCCAAACGGAAATACTCATGTGACTTTTGTTGTTTTTTATTTTAAAGCAGCAGTAAAGTTTACACTTGAGATTTTTAATGTTAATCTACTGTTTTCTCCCTTTTCTTTTTTTTTTTCTTTCCACCCAACTTTGTACTACTAACTTTCTTTACACAGTATTCTATTTTTGGTAGGATATTTCATATATAAATCGATTGAATACTCTTTATACTCTGTTTCCTATAGAAGTGTTGGAAGCACACAGACTGTGTTGAAGGAGAACTAGAGTTCTTTTTGCTGCTAGCCTTTCATCTTGGTTTATTTTTGCCTTTTTTGGTATTGTATGTACTAAATAGGGTGAACTTTGAAATACTGGTTGTTTGTACCTTTTTGTGCAAATAAAGATTTCTTACGGTGGGGTAGCACTTTGATTCATATTTATACTTGCTAGGAAACCTCTAAACATGGAAAGTCAGCTCTAATAAAGACTGTCAATAAACAGTGAACCGTGTGGTTACTTAATTGCTTCGTTTGTAGTAGTTTTATACCCCTGCTGTTCCGCGTTTGTGTTCAGAAGCACCTGCTTATTATTCCTCATTATGCCATTTGCAGGAAAACAGCATCAGAAGGATGTTTTCGAAGCAGTTCTGTGCTGAATTACAGCACAAAAGCTGAGAAAGGGGGCAGTTTTGGCTCGGCCGGCGCCTGCTGAAGCGTTGGGAAAGGCTCCTCTTAGTTGCAATGGAGTTTCTTGGAGGGGTGTGCGTGAGTAAGGCTGGGGGGACAACCTGCTGGCTCTGTGGGGAGGCTTTTGGTTGCCTGCACTGGCTGCTCTTCAGGTTGGATGTGGGTATCTCAAAGGCAAATCTAAATCTCAGTGCAGCACTTGCCGAGGGACTCCCAGGATGGCAGGAAAAGTTGTAGTGCCGGTGGGTGAGGTGGGGCTTCAGCTGGAAAGCTAGAAACTGGCTGCCTGTGTGCTTGGGAGAGGGATTTGAAAGGGAGTAAGCGCAGGAGAAGGGAAAGTGGGAAGAGCTGGGGGTATTTACCCAATGGGAGCAGAGGCTCAGAGTAAACGGGGGTCTGTAAGCACACTTAGAACAAAGTGTTTTGGGGGGGAGGCTGCCGAAGTTCACAGGGGGCTGAAAGGCCCTGAGAAAAGAGGGTACAAATGGGGACTGGCAGCAGGAAGATGGACCAGCTGGGCCCAGGTCCCCACTGCTCTGTGGTGGGACACGCTGGTGGGCTGCCTCTGCAGGCTGGGGAGGGGAGCCAGTAGTGGGATGGCAGCAGGGCTTTCCTTCAGAGTTACTCAAAATCATCTGCTTTCTTCTGGGAGCACACCTGCATTGTGATGCTGTGGATGGTGTTGACGTAATCCTGGTGTCAAAAAGCCTCTTTACAAAGCCCCTGTTCTATTTCAAGCTGAGTGAAGATTCCTGTTTAGCACCAGACAGGGTACTCTTTCGTTAAAACAAATGAAAAAATAGTTGGTTTTGTGTAATGGCTGCTTTTTCCATCTTTATTAAATGCCTGCTGCAATCACAAAATGGCTTCAGTTTCCTAATGTTTTGTTTCTGATGCTGTCCAGTTAACCAAGTATCATCAAATCTTCTTGCATTTCTTCTAATTTATACATTAATGCCCTGAATATAGAGCTTCTCTGGAACGATAACTTGTCTGATCAGCAAAGTCACTGTACTCCTAATCAGAACGTATGGGTAACTTACCGATTTTCGTTCATACTTTATTGTGAGTTTTCCTTCTGGGACTGGTGTAAGCATATTTTTTTTTAGCTTGATTTTTTTTTTTTTTTTGGTGAAGTCTGTGCAGGATGCACCTGCTGTGTTTTTGCCAGTGTAAAAGGTTACACACTGGAAGAGCAGAACCAATAAATTCTGCAACTTCTCTGAAGTGTTGCTTCTCCCAGCATCATGATCGGTGTCTCGCTGTTACTGGAGTCAGCTGGGGTGATCCATGTGCCTGGTGTTGTGTTGAGAGTTGAAGTGTGGCTGCTGTTGTGGAGACCTTGGTCTAACCCAAGGCAAAGAAAGTGGGAGGTGGTGTGATTGATGACCAGAGTCAGGTGTGTGATAGCCTCTTCCAAGTGCTGGTGTTTAACACAGAGTTACCATCTGACCAGCATCTTCTGCTTCAACACTCTGCATCTGCTCTGCTTGAAAGGTACTGCTGGTCCAAACTGGCTTCCTCCAGCACCTGAGGACCTTCCTGGTGCACTTCTGAGCGCTTGCCAAGGTGAGTGTGTGGGAGCACCCACAAGCACCCATGTTTCTCCGGAGGTGCAGTGGGCTAAGATGAGGTGAAGGAAGAGGGAGGGTTTTGTTTTGCAGGGAGTTTTGGTTACTTACAGCCTTACAGAGAGAAAAGAAAGCTGCAGTTTTGCCCCAGATAAAACAACTTCTCCACCCCTGTGTCCTGTTGAATCCTTGCTTTGATGTGTTTGTGTAAGGGCTGTGGGATGGGGGGTTGCTTACTGCAAATGTCACAATAAGGATCACCAGGGGATCTCCACTCTACAAGGCCACAGACAAGTTGCTGTGGGGAGGTTCTTTGGCACTGGGGAAAGCTTTGCTTTCACCTGAACCTTCACTGTGTTTCTTCTCCTCCTGTCAGCCCTACTTTGAGACCCCTCAAGGGCCTGACCCCTAGGCAGGTCGCCTAGTCTGAGTCCCTGCTCAAGCAGGGCCATCTCCAAAGGTGGATCAAGTTGCTCCTACTCATTTCTCTGAGCTCTGGCAAGGATAGTGCCAGGGAACTGGCACTGTGGGGAAGGAATATGGGAACACTCTGTGGTATAGTATTAGCTTTGAAAGGACCCCACTGCTTCAGCTGTCACCTGGGTTTGGGCTTTTTCACTTCTGTGCATCTTCCTTGCAAAGGGGACTGGGCAGAAGAGGGCTGAGCGGGTGGCAGGGGCACTGCTGTGATGTTCTGCAGAGTCAGAGGCTCAAAGCTGCATTGAGTCAACTGCTGATGATTTATTTTTAAAAATAACTTAATGAGTTGTGGTGGAAATAAGTTAAATAGTTAAATGAACTCTGAAATCTTCCCCTGCTCCCATCTGAGGTGAAAATATTGGAAAGCTCTTTCAAATATTTAATAAAAGAGAGTGACTCGCTAGTAGCTTGGTTGAAGTTTTAACTTTTAATACTGAAAATTCCCCTCTGGTGCCAGCACAGTAAGTATCATGGATTGCTGCAATTAAACCAGTGCCTTAAGTTATTCATAATACTCTTTCTGGGCAGCATTCCCACCTGCTTAATCTGTGCTATACAAGCGTTTATTAGAACTGACTGTTGAAAAACGCCAAGCTAAATCGGACGTTAAAAAAACCCCACAAATCAATATGATGCCCTAAACTGGTTTAATATGTCTTTCCTCTTCAATAATCCTACACGTTACTGATTTATTTGCTGTAATGAACATGCCATTCAACCGAAACAAGATTAGCTGCTTAAACCGGCAGCATTAAGCACGGAGCAACTTTAATGCTGCTTTATGTTTCATTGTAATGCTCAGCACTTACAGTGTCGTCTCTTTCTCTCCTCTGCGATAAAGAGTTTGTGTGAGGACCACAAAGGGCTGCGGAGTGGTGTTTTGTTAAAGCATTGGGAGCAGTAAATGTGAGTCGGGGTTGCAACGCGGCGCCTGCTTCATCCAACCCTCCGTGGAACCGAGCTGGTGAGCAGGATTAATGCACGAATTTATATTCCCTGCAGGATTTTTCCGGGGTTAACCACGAAGTAAATGGCTTATGTCAAACTGATCTAGGTTAAGACAGTGAGAACAGCCACTGGCAATCACCATATTCCTTTGGACTTCATTCAAAAATTTTTTTTTTTCAAGCATTTGGAAGAGTAGCAATTTACTGTGCTGTAGGGAAAACAGACTGCGAGGAGCAGGTGTCTTGGTTCTGTAAGGAAGAGTCCTAAGATAGACGTGGTAAAGACTGAAGATTTTCCAAGGGGGCTATAGAAAGGGGCAGGGAAATATGAGTGATACAGGTACTGCCCGGTGTTGTGTGATGTACAATAGACGAGTCTGTTCCATTGTATAATACTGGCCAAAACTTTAAGCTCTCCAGTTTCCAGGTAGAACTGTGTGTTCTTCTCTTCCTACAAGCCTCAGCTGGGAGCCTGTAAAGACACTGTTTTTTTTGTTATTGTTTTGTTCTTCTGTTGGGAGAAGACTGCTTTAGATAATCACTTTCCCTTCTTGTTGATTAAGAAGCAAAGTGTGTTTGTTAGGGTATCTGTATATTCTCCATAGTTCTGAAAATTGCACTGGATTTTCTGTTTGCAGTACAATGTTCTATTTCTTTTTCTTTGGAAGACCATGATGAGTTGCAGGAGTGTATGCCAGGGCCTTTTTGGGGTCTTGCGATCAAACCTAGAATACTAAAACCAGAGAAATGAGCTTCAAAGTATTGCAGAAATGTGTTGGCTTGAGAGCAATTACTCAGACAAGCAGAAATGAGGAAAAAAAAATGTCAAAAGTAATGTGTTTGCACTGTGCTGGAGTAGGTTTTCAAATGGAGGTTGTGTTTCTGACTCTGGAAATTACGTTTCTTCTGGTAAATGCTGTTTTCCTCCAGTTGATCCCAACAGAGAATTGGAAGTGATCTGGCAAAGGGAGAGTGGAGGGACTGAAGGCAGCTCCTTCTGGAGGAGGAAATGCACCCTAGAAGCCTGTTAGGAGGAGCAGCCTCACTTTGCATTTCTCCATTGATAAAAAAAAAAATAGCCTGAAGATGCTTTCAGAACATCTGCCTGAAGGGCAAGTGCTGGGATGCAAGGAGAGGGCTGGTGAGTGTTGGCAAAGATAATAGTTTGTCACTGATAGGGCAATTTTTCATGGAAAAACAGAATGGCTGGGTGAACAGGACAGAGTGCCCCAAGGGGAGCACACAGGTTTCGAAGGGAAAGTACCCTCCTGAACTGCCAGTTTAAAGATGGTCAAGAGTTGAGAAGTAATAGTCATGGTATTTCTATGAAACATGGGTGTGGGGCTTTTTTTCCCTCGGTTACCAGGAGCCCCCTCAGCACGTTTTGCTGCTGTTGTCCAGACTGCAGAGGTCTCAGTGACCCTTGTGCCTAGCCCCTGGGGTTTGGGTGCTCTGGTGACAGCTGGCTGTGTCCTGTCCCTCGTGCAGAATGTGCTTTTTGTGTGTCAGGGAGATAAGCAGCCTGCACGGAGCTGCCTTTCTTGCAGCCACTCACGTGAGTTACTGTAGGTCCACTCCTAAGCTCCCACACTCCTATTTTATTTAAAGACCAAGTGATTTGTGTGGTCTCTTAAATCACGGCCATGGAAGGACTCGGGACCGACCGATGTTTGATGTGGAAGCAAACACCAGGAGAAAGGACAGGGAGAAAGAAGGAAGGAGGGAGAGCAGCAAAACTGAGCAAGAGAAAGCAGGATTGAATATTCCTGGGAAAGCCTCTGCCCTGCCTTGGCTTGTGTAACAGGGACTTATACAACACGT